GAAACTGTCAATGAGTCTTTGGTTGATCACTATTGCATGTCCATATCTGTTTTCATGAGAAGCCACTTTGAAGTTATCAATATGAAATAAAACAACCATTGTTAATTCCCTACCACTTTGTTTGTAACTCTGTATTGTCTGTACTGTTCTTTCGATATGTTGTAAAATGTTGCATATCTGTTAATGTTTTCCTCCTTTCATTTAGAAAAGAAAGAAAGAATGATTTTTGGATGTTGAGCTCATTCTTTCATGTTTTTTCTTGAAAGAATTTTTGATTTAGTAAGTACTTTTTGATCATCTAGTGAGATAATAGCATGGTTTTGTCCTATATTCCATGGGTATGGTGTACTATATTCATTGAATTTAGCATAGTAAACCACCTTACATTTGTACAACTATCTTGTGCAGCAATGCTTTATAATTTTTCATAAGTTGCTAGACTTTTGTTGCTAGTATTTTGGTAAGAATTATTATATCATTGTTCATATGGATTATTAATTGTTACTTTTGTTATGATTTTTTTTCTGTTATTAGCTTATTTTTAGATTGGTGGAATGAGTCAAGAGGTTTTCTTCTTGCTCTTGTTCTAAAAGGAGTTTATACACAGTTAGAATTAATTATTAAATACTTGGCAAAACTCACTAATGTTTACCTTTTGCTATATCATACTTTGAGCTCTATGAGCTCCTTGGCTTTTTAGAATATTTTCCTCAAATACAGGAAGTTTCCAACGATTACTTCTTGGATGTTTTTATTTTTCTCACATTTCTTCTTCTGATACTCCTCGAAATATGTATAAAGTTGTGTCACATTCTTCTTTGAGACTATGCTTAAGGTCCTTCATTAATTTCTCCACTGTTCGGGGCTGGGGATTTAGCTCAGCGGAAAAGCGCCTGCCTGGCAAGCGCAAGGTCGTGAGTTCGGTTCCTGGTACCGGAGAAAAACAAAAAACAAAAAACAAAACAAAACAAATTTCTCCACTGTTCTTTGTTTGAATAATTTCTCCATTCTATCAAATTTATTATTCTTTTTGTGTGTTGCAAAGACCCAAAACAGTGTCCTGCATATGTTACATACGCACTCCACCAATAAGATACTACCCAATCCTTTTTATTTTTATTTTGAGACAAAGTCTTTCTGACCAATTCACGCTGCCCTTAAACTTATGACCCTCTT